GCACTAGCACCTGTTGTAAAGCTTTTCCTATTCAAGGCAGTATTCTCACAGCTTTCCAACAGCATTGGCAGCGGACTTTTCTGTAACTTCCTTATTTTCCTCTGCCTTTGTCCCTTTGGTGACAGCGCATGGCTGTGCTCTCCACCACAGCATGCTTTTTATGGTATGTAAAGGCTTTGTAGTAGATAAAGAGAAAAAGCAGCCAAAATCCTGAATATACCCTCTAAGGTTATCTGTGCCTACTAAAACTCTTCTTAGCAAGACTCCCTAATGGAAAGAGAAAAGAAAAACCGCTGTCAGGTCACGTGTAAAATAAAAAAGTTATGGATACAGAAACCTAGGAGAGCTCCATCAAGTTGGATGAAAATGCATCAAAGCTAGAAACTCATCACTCAAGTCCTAATGAGCCATGGGCTAGGCCAGGGACGGCACAGCTTTGATCCGAGCTGGGATCCCAGAGGGAGGCGTGTGGGCTGGCTGCTCCCCAGGGACTGGTGCAAGGGCCAGCGCGTTTTTGCACTGCCAGCTGTTTTCCCATTGCCACACATGCAACATCTCTCATGTCTTGCTCCAAACTTTAGGTGAGTTACGTGAGGAGTGTTGCCACCAGACCTTGCAATCCTCCTTGCTATAAATGCCTCTCACCTTCTTTCAAAGACCTGCTTTTCTCTAACAAAGCTGCAGCAGTGCCAACTACTTTCCCTAACACAGCGTTGGTGTGAAGTGGTAGGCACTCTGGGATTTCACATGAATTCAGGATGTGCCTAGAAAATGTAGGTACCTGCAGGCTCTTGAGATTGTTGGCAAGAGGAAGGGGGGGAGGGTGTTGCAGTTTTAAAGTTTAGTGCCTGAAATAGTCTGACCTCTCCCTCTTGGTTTTGTTCATTCTCTCCTTAAATTTGTAAATAAGGCAGCAGATAGCTAAAAATATGTATTCGGAGTACTAAAGTTATGATAATTATGAAAGAAAACTTTTTGAACCCAGAGTAATATCTGAAACACAGAATCATTGTAGTGGAACAGGTCGATAAACAGGCATTTGTTAAGTTACTGTCACAGCCTGGCAGGAGCATTAGCAAAACAAGTGGTAAGAAACAAAACAGCATGGGTTTTGTCTCCTATTTTTCCTGACTCCATTATTACTTTGCTATAACTAATTTCTTTCACTTCATATAAGAATTTCATGGAGAAGTATGATATTGCAAATTTTAAAAAATCAAATTCATTTGGACATAATTATTTGGAATAATTATTTTAATTATCTATATACTGTTATAGCATTTTTTTTGTTTTCCTGATGGTAAGCACTTAATATGCCTACAGTCCACTGATACTTGCTTTCAATTTTGTCTGTGTTTGCTAGAAGGCAAGTAATGATGTCTAGAGTCCTGCATGTTCTCCAAAAAGGATGGTATTGAAAAGCACCTTTAAACTCAACTCATCTCATTATAAACCTTTTATCTTTTCACAGTGAGTTTAGATTCTTCAAACTAACCTCCCTATATGTTCTAAGATATGTATGAAATGTGTTTTGCAAGCTGATTGCTTTTTCTTAACTTAGTCTTCAGTGCTGTTTGATACTTCACCTTTTGAGTCCTCTAACCTAGCACATGCTGTGAAAATTTGTGCCACAGAGTGCACTGAAGTCTGACAACAGTGAACTCCTTTAGACCAAATAAAGGAAGCAGCCTTAGTTGAAGAGAGCCTAATTCATTGTTGAAATGACTTCTGCTAGTATCAGTGGCTGTGGAATCTCAGTGGCTTCTTGTTTGGATGCTAATTAATTAATCTTCACAAATGCAAAACAGTGCCTTTAAATTACAGCTTCAGGTTTACCAGAAGCCAGCCTAGTTCTTGGAGCACGTGAACCACCATGATGAGTTGTAACAAAGACCTGTAGCTGCAGCTGAGCTCCTGGGAGAAAGATGTTGTGTTCTACAAAAGTTCTGGTTTTGTATGGAGAAGTGGAATACTGATATAGTATTGGAGAGTTCATCGAAGATATAAAAAAATCTCGTTTCCTTTCCTGTTTGTATTCAGCTTTTCTTTTATCTTGCCAAGTAAAAATTATCTTTCCTTGGGGATTTGGGGATTTTCTTTTCTCACGGGCTATATCTGGCCTGCATCTCAGTGAGGCAGCACTTCCTTTGGGCCTCTGTCTCTCTTCATCAGGAGAGATGTGGGCTGTGTGTCACTTGTGTGCTGAAGGCTGTGCAGCTCCTATTGCCAAACTTCTGAGCGTTTTTGAGCAGGAGGGAGGACGTGGTGAGCTTCATGCAGATCTTTCTGCATAGCCCAAGCATGAAATAGAAGAGCAACTAAGCAGTATTTTGTTTCCCCCCATACACTTGGATATCTGAGGACACCAGGAAGTGCAGCATCCATATTGTAGACACTGTGCACCCTATGTTTTTACCTGATTAATGTAATATTGACTCTGCCCTCCAATAGCCTCCTGTCACTCTTCAGGATGCCACTAGAAAAATGTCATCAATTCCAAGTACATGGATGGCAGGAGATGACTGCCTAAGCAGGGTTCTGCAGTGTGCCTCAGGAAGAAAAACTTAGCATCCCTGAAGGACAACAGTCAGTCACAGATCATTAGATCGTTACTATCTTGTGAGCTGGGAGGCAAACCGCTTTTTATTTTCCCTTGCAGTTGGAAACAATACAGCTTTAGCAATAAAAAATGTAGTTATTATTGTCTCTTGATATTTGTGTTGAAGGCAGCTGAGTCAGGGAAGGACAGAGAGGGACCTAATGACATATCCAGTTAAAAAGCAATAAATACAATCAAATACAAAGAAATACAATTGTCATTGTGACATTTACTGCCACAGGGGTTAATTTGCTATACAAGCAGTTGATTCAATGTAGACCAGCCAAGGCTTTGACCTTGTTATGCTTGTAGAGTTCTGTATCAGGCAGTACAAGGATGCCACATCTCTCTTAAGTGCAGGGCAGAAACATTCTGGAAGGTAAACTCCTAGACAGCATGATGGCAGTAACTTCTTTCTGTGGAGTCTCTGCAAACCTTTCCTTTGTATAAAAAAATCTTAGGCTGTAGTAACTGCTATGAATACAACAGATACCCTATAGCATGTTCCTGTTTCATCTGTCACCTGGCCACACCTCTTGCAATCTCATTGCTCATGTCTATCAGAATCTTTTCTGTGTGCAGGGGGGAAAAAATCCCCAAGCCATAAGGTG